ATAACGCGGACGTCAGTTTGAATCTGAACTTTTCCATCGTCTGACCACACTTCTAGGAATCACTCGTTTCCGAACGACTGCCTACCACCCACAAGCAAACGGGTTGGTAGAAGGTTTTCACCGACAACTAAAAGCTTCACTATCAACTGCAAACGTTTTACAGTGGACTGACGCTCTTCCACTCGTCTTACTAGGTATTCGCAATGCATTGAAAGCTGACATTGGATACACTGCGACTCAACTCGTTTATGGAACGACACTTCGACTTCCAGGAGAATTCGTGGATCCTTCATCCTCTTCAATGAACATGGATCTAACCTCCTACACGAACAGGCTTACTAACGCAATGCGTTCAGTTAAACCTGCTTCCACTCGACCGCAATCAACTGATGTTTTCGTTCAACCTGACTTACGATATAGTACACACGTTTTCGTTCGTCGAGACTCGCATCGACGACCCTTCGAATCAGCATACGAAGGACCCTTCAAAGTTCTTCAACGTGAATCTAAGTACTATATAGTCGATAAGAACGGAACCAACGATAGCATCAGTATCGATCGCTTAAAAGCAGCGTATTTAGAAGGAAATCCTATCTACGTGGATTTTCCTTCGGTACAATCGAACGACACGACTCCGACACTTATAATACCTCATCCGACAACCAACACACACGATGATACTTCGACAGTATCCGAAAATAAACTTAAAACGACGCGTTCTGGAAGAAGGGTGAGATTTCCAGAACATCTAAACGGCTATTGCACGTAAGGCACTTCTCGACATTTTATATTATTTTTTTAAAAAAAAAACAATTTTAATATGCTTATATATTTTTATTTCTATTTAAAAAAAAACAAAACAAAAAACAAATTTTTTTTGACGCTATTACGTGTTCATGAGTTCATTTTCCATTTTTTTTCCGCCGACATTGTGTTTTTACGCACATACGAGTGTATTTTCGACATGCACTTACATTTTCTTTTTTCTTTTCCAGGACGGCTGGAAAAGAACGATGACGTTTATGAGGATCCGAAATTTTCCATGTACATTTTCTTTTTTTACTATGTTGTACCTCCGTCCCATATAGTAAGGAAAGACGACCAGAAGCTGCTAAATTTAGTAAGCTATCAGAAGAGTGTTTACCAACGACAAACTCGTTGGGTTTAAACTTCTGGCTGGCCACGTCTTAGGGTCGTCACTGCCCCACTAGGGGGGGAGTGATCTGTAGCGGTAAATAAATCCCCAAAATAAATAGCACTAAGTTTTCGACATTGGATGCTGACCATATGTTTTAGTGGACTCACCTAGCTGAAGGCGCTCGGTCAGGCATCCGCACCAGATCACGTGTGGTAACGCCGTGCTCAACATCAACCGCAATCGCTAGCCAGATTAGATCAGAGAATTCCGATATATTGGTCATCGCCAAATATACTCTTCCGATCTCCTCGACTCTGTCTTTTGATTTCTCTGGGCGGGAACGAAATATATTAGGTGTTACTGGTAGAAGCGTTGTCAAACACTGAATACCTGTGACATCATCAATCCAATCGACGACTGTGTTATGGATTCCAAAACGTTCCAGTTCGAATTTAAGACCAGAATGGGAGACCTTATCGAAGGCCTTACTTAGATCTATGAAGGTCACATCCACAGGAATATTCCGATCTTTTGCCGCAGCCCAATCTTCTCTTGCAACCAGTAGGTTTCTCAAGCACGATAGGCCTCTTCAGAAACCATGTTGTTCCTGGAGAAAAGATTATGCCCTTCAACATAGTTTATGGTGGATATCCAAGCGGTTTTATCCATTAGTTTTACAACTGCACTAGTTAAGCTAACGGGACTATAGTTACTAACTAAATCCCTACTCCCAGCCATATACACCAGACTTATTATCGCGTCTTTCCAGTTTCTGGGTGGTCTGGACTGCTTCAGACACATGTCAAACAGTATCGCTAATGGTTCAGCAATTACATCTGATATGGCTTTCATACTCCTAGGATGAATATTATCAGGACCACTGGACTTATCAGGTTTCAGATGCTGAAGTAGCCTTAAGACAGTAACTTTCTCAATGACAACAGGGTCCATCAACGAGCCGCCACAATCAAAATGAATCGTTGGTCGTTCTTCATAACCGATAGAAAACACTGTAGTGAAATATTCCGATAAAGCTTCAGCTTTTTCGATATCGTTTCCTGCCAAGATTAACGGAGTTCCTTGTATCAAAAGTTATTGGAATTCAATCGCATCTCTAAGTTTGCCTTTTTATGTACGACAATAACCGTTTCGGACCATATCAACAATCCCTAACCAATTGTTTTTCATATAATCATCTAGTCTTACATAATAACGCTTTACAGGCATTCCTAATTTCACAACAACTGGATCTATATTGTTCTAAGCCAATAAAGATGAACATGCTCCAGTGCTTCTTCCTTTTCCTTAGACGTTTCCTGACTGGTTTAGTTATCCATGGTGGAATGTTAGTCGGTCTTCGTGGCACCGGGTATGGTATGAACGGGGACATAACTAGATTAAACTTACCTTTAAATTCAGACCTTGCTTCTTCAACTGATAAGCTAGTATCTACAAACCAATCTGTCTTAGCAGTGCATTCCTGAATGGCTGATATTTTAGCTTTCCATACATTTGGGTGAGGTGTAACCTGATCGTATAACATGTCCCCAGTTCTAAACGCGAATGACAAAACAGCGTGATCGCTGTTCACTAACGGTGGGAGAATATTTAAGTCGACAATATCCTCAGTATCATGAGTGATTACCAAGTCCAACAGAGAAGAACCTTGATTATCACCAAAACGTATGGGTTTGGATGCATGCTGCACTAATGCATGCTCCATTATTGTTACCAGGATCCTACTATCAAAGGAGTTTATAAATCCTTCCGTGATCATCTCAGTTCAACTAATGTCAGGTGCATTAAAGTATATTATTATCAAGTATCTGGTATTTGCACTCCAAAGATGAATGTGCTCTAAAATAAAGTCATCAGCTAAGCATATCGGGCCGCGATAGATGACACCTAGCATAAATGTACTACATCCGATAGCCAATTTACAGCTAATGATTTCACAAGTACCGCCATCATAAGATTCGCTAGCAGAGGAGCGGGTATTTAGGCTATTGGCTATATATAAGAGGACGCCACCTCCTTTTCTACTTCTATGTCTATCACTCCTGAGATAATGGTATCCGAATAATTCTGGTGTAATGTCTAAGTCATGGACTAGCCAAGTTTCTGTCACTGCTACGATGAGTGGCTTTAATCTGTCCACCAATGTTTCTAGTTCATAGAACTTATTTCTTAGACTACGAGCATTGGCATATAAGACTCCTAAGTGGAACGGCCTATCCACACAGGCCTTGGTAGTATTCGCTTCCAAGACCTGATTATCCGAAAACCCACTAGCCGGAGATTTTCCTTACCGTTTTGCCGACGGGTTTTGAGTTCAGTAAATGCTTTCTTCCTTTTTATTCTATCTTCGAGAGACATATCAGGTCTAATCCGTATATCGGAATTGTCGTGACAACGAGCGCCACTTAACAGGAGATCCAGTTGCTTCTGCGATCCTAGGATTACCTTACGGAGTCTACATGGTCGGGGTTCAACATTTTCCTCAGTCCTCTTGCCTATTCTAACCAGCTTTTTACCTGAACTCCTTTAGAGTCATCTGGTAAGATACTGCGAATATATTCTTCCAGCTTCTCTAAATCATGCGCTTGTATAATTTTCGGATCAGGGTCGTTTGACTCCAGCAATTTGCTCACAATAATGCTCGATGAGATTAGATTCTTCTTCTCACTCACGCCAGGGTGGGTTTCTCTCCTCTATTAGATTTTGGCAGTGCGTCAGACTTTGATAGTGCATTTAGTGACTTGCTAACCATCTGCGTACTGCCTACAGCCATTTTCTTTTAACTTCGTTTTCTCCGTACTGCAGTCCATTTTTCATCCCTCAGGATACTGAGACTATTTGGAGCAGTGACGGTTTTATCCAGATCTCAAGTTTCCACTGGGGGTGCATGGTTACCAATATCAGTATCAGGTGGTACTACCCCGTTGTTAATGTCAACGGAGATTTCACTTTTCCGTCAGTCATAGTCGGTTGTTTAAGGCGTCTCATAACAGCACGTACTACACTGACACATTCGTCACTGTCAGTGCTCGTGTTACCAGTGCATTCGCCATCGTTCCTCTTAAAGGCCAGGGCCAATAGGCTCATAGCCTCCTGTATTAGTGATGTCTTATTTGAACAGCAAAACATGCTGAGCCAGTGTGAGTTAGGCTTCGAATATCTTTTGTATTCAGTGGGCCTTAAACGGGTGCACATCATATAGAACCACTTTTTGCATCCATCACATTGCATTCCTTCCTCCACAAGGAACAAACAGTTTGGTTGTCCACATTTGTGAGTACTACCAACCATTCTAGTCAGATTAAGGTGTAAAACACAATATGATCGCAGTATGAACAGTGTCAGTCAACGAGTAAAGGGTACTACAAGGCAAACTTTAGCAAGATTTCAAACCTTAACTAAAGTACTTTGATTAAGACCAAGAATGCTTTTGATGCAATAACTACACAAAAGCAAAGATAATCACAACAAGTACAAAATCACTGCCCTTTTTGAAACACCGACGACAAACTAATATGGAGGCAGAAACGATACTGCAATCGAATACTTTAACTGAAACAAATTCAATTAAAGTGAAAACAGTAATATTGATATGTAATAACGATCAAAACAATAGAATTTACTATACGAGGAAAAATACCACTGTCTCTTTAATTAGCGCGCGCACAGTTTATATCGCCACTGGTGATAAATTGCATTGAAGAGACAAATCTTACTGCTTAAAGGCTTCTTTTAGTTCGCTTTTGGTGTTTTTGAACAATTTGATAGTGAGTTTGTTTTTACTTATCAACAGACCGCTCATGTGCGTTGCATATAGTCCGCCGTATACGATTTCTGCGCAAAAATGTCTATCGGAGGGGGCTACAACTATTCATATATATTTAAATATATAATTGTTGGTGATATGGGGGTAGGAAAAAGTTGTTTAATGCACCAGTTCACTGAAAAAAAGTGTAAGCTAATGTTTCTTCTCACGCTGTTGTCCTTTAGTTATTCCAGATTGCCCACATACTATTGGTGTTGAGTTCTCCACAAAAATCATTGAAGTAAATGACCAGAAAGTTAAGATCCAGATATGGGATACAGCTGGCCAAGAACGTTTCAGGGCAGTAACACGATCGTACTATCGAGGAGCTTCCGGGGCTTTACTAGTTTACGACATCACACGGAAGCCAACCTTCAACCGGATTCAAACGTGGTTAACAGATGCTAGGCGACTGACTTCCCCTAATACCGTTATCTTTCTTATTGGCAATAAGGCTGACCTCGAAGAGCAACGTGATGTTACTTATGAAGAGGCTAAACAACTGGCAGATGAAAATGGTCTTTTGTTTCTAGAGTGTAGCGCTAAATCGTAAGTCTTTCTGATTTAGTTTCGAAATGTTTCTATGTACTTACAAGCTAGGCAGCAAATACTTCGGGCTGGTTACGCGGCCTTTACTTGATAATGAACCAATGGGACGAAGTCATCAAGTCGTTTTTCAGCAGCTGTTAAGATCGTTAATTAATCCCATGACGATTCGTTCATAAAGGTTCAAAAAACGCAAGGATAAATAAGATTTCACGCGCTCAGAAAATGGCAAAGTCGATCTTAATTACGTCAGGATGCACTTAAGTGACGTATCTAATATGACTGATATCACTAGTTCGGGATAATATGAGATGGCTTGGAACTTATCAGTTATACTGATGCGAACACCTTGTCTGCCCTTAGGTTTTGATCAGCACGTTATTAGTTCGACTCCCCTTTCTTCTCACGTCTTTGTTCTGATGTTTTCCTTCCGACTTCCTCTATTCCCGTATAACATTAAAACCTGAAGTTTATCCGTTTTTGTTTTGCTCTATGAATTCATCTGTTTCTCCGAGATATATTCGATTAATGCTTCTGCATTCTTCACTAAACTACTTGGGTTTTTGCGTAGTCTTGAAGCGTGTTATCACTGGACAAATTTGTGATTTCATTGGTACAGGATTTTAGGTAAGAATATAATTTATGGGCGAAGCAATAAAATTTAGGACACCAGGTCATGAATTTTGGCGCAAAATTCACTCACTCATTTAGCCAGGTAGCGTCTTGATATTCCATCTGACTTCAGTTCTTGATGAAAATCCGTAAACCTAATCCCTAACCATCAAATATAGATCATAATCCTTATTCTCCAAACTCCTTTATAACCCTCATTTAGCCCTAGTAAATAGGTAGACACTCTCTAGGTCACTTTTATTTTATTTTATTTTATTTCAACACATAGATAATGGTACAAAGAGGCACCAAATACATATGCGCCACACAAATCTAGGTCACTTTGGCGTCGCTCAAATGTTGTCCCTAAGTTATAGTGTCAAGCCATTTTTAATACTTCAAACGCTAAGTGGAGGACGATTTCATTGGTTCACTTCCCCATCAATGTTGTTTAGACAGACAAGCTAATTTGTGTTCGGGTCTTGGATGTATTGATCACGTTATTGATTCCCTCTAGCTGCTTAAATACTGCCACATTTCTGTAGTATGACAATCATATTTCTTGATATCAAGGCCACTTTCGACTTAATGGATGAAACCGCTTCGGACTACCGTTGAAAACAAATTTGCCGGAGTTATCTAATAATATCTTGAAAGGTCCATACAAACACCCCAAAAAGAGTTAGGTTATCCAACTATTTCTCTTCACTGTTCCAGTCCAACTAATTAATTAGTTTAGATTAGTTCCCCCACATTCACTCCCATTTTGCCACTGATAACACTCTGGAAATAGCTTCAAAGGAAGTACATGTTAGTGATGTGAATGATTTCGACATCAAGTACGCGGAAGACATCGTATTTTTACTCGATAAAAGGCTATCAAAGTTGCACCTGATCAGTATCGATCTTAACGAGTTCAGTTATAGTCACCGGCCAACTACATTCACAACATAATTGCAGGTTAACTCAGAATTTATTTCCCTTCATAACCTTCCCAAAGGGTTAGACGGGTTTATAAAGAGTAGTATTTAGAAACCCGATGTAGAACAAGTAGTACATAAACTTCCGAAGTTAGGTTCCACTGAACAGACAAGGAAATTCAACGTATTCTCTATCATTAAGGGTCCAACAAATATGCACAAGCAACAGAACTGACCATGAATTGAGTATAATCCGTAACTCATAAACAAATTCTCTCGTAACCAGACAGAAAAACACGGGTGACGAATATGTGATTCATGAGCATCGGATTCAAAAGGTATAGAGCCGCAGAGATCCTGAAAAACTGAATGTTAGGATCTCTTTAAGAGACATCCTAATAAGCCTAGGTTCAAATCTTCTATAGGTACCTGATCTGAGGATCTGTCAAGGATAAACTCATTTCGGGTTACTTCACTATGTATCTGATAGTTTACTTACTCTCGTGTGGAGGTTATATTAGCCTTGAAAAATACCCTTTCCAAACATCTATCCGTACGCTACCATTCATGATTATCTAAAGGGAAATATAAACCAGTTGTCAGCTGTATTTTTCAACAGATGGTCGTGTCCTCCCCCACTAGAATAACCATTCAACATTATCCACATAATCGAGCGAACTGGCTCAAAGAAAGTTCGAATCAGAAGTTTTTGTAAACTAAAGGTTTTAGTAAATCATCACTTACAACCTTATCTGTGTTCAAGAGTAACACATTCAGTCCCTAATTTCACCGTCTCCCTAGTATTTCTTGTATTTGTCATTAGTAACCATTCGCCTCGTCATGTGGATAATTTTTCCACATCCATAAATTATCTTCACTGTACTGCTCCTCATTACTTCTTGACTATCACCTGACCTTTTTGTACTACTTGATAGCTTTGTTAGTAACGTAATACCTCTGTATTTGTTACAAAAAAAACTTTAAAAATAATTATAATGTGCTCTTACAACTCTAGTAAATGAAATCATTTAAAAGTCGAATTTCCGCTAGCTTGTCTTGATTTTGCTCAATGACACATTGATTTTTTGTTCTTGACTGTATTCTAATGAGTGGTATTGTTGTTTGTTTATCTGTTGATTTCAGGAATTTGCTTCAATATAGTCATTTTACCTTATGAAGTGCTTTTTGGTGACTTTTTAATAAGGATTTGTGTGATAGATAGTTCAGCCGGTCAGTCATCCGCAACGTAAAACCTAGCAGATGTATACACCGGATAAATTTGCCACACCCCATTACCATTGTAAAATGAAACTAACAGAAAATTCAGGAGTATTAGAAGTGGTATCAAAACTAGTAATAGAAAAGACTAGACCGAAAATAAAACCCTTCTTAGAATTGGCTGTGGTTATCGAAAGTAGAGGTGGAAAGAATTAGAATAGTTGTTCACTTTCTAAATATCTGTGATACTAAGCCTTAAGACCTCTGAATGATAGTTGAGTTAAATTTTGTTACTCTCCCATCTGTTCTTCATCCACTGGAATATTAATGGTATTCATATTAGTCCCAAAATCTTTGACAGTAACGATAACTTTTTTCGAAATCTAAAACTTTGATGCAGTAAGAATCTGAAGAGACGTTTTACAGATAAACATTACGATAGTAATTTTCATAGAGATAAATCCGAAGAGGTTTTCATTGCACTGTTACATAGCTAGCCTTAATTCCGAGCCACAATGTTACAGAGGCATTCGACATCCATCAACTAAATCCTAGGGACATCACTCATTTACTTTCCTTTCCAGATCCATATCTTTATTTCACAGTATTCTCGTTCCTCTGATTTTATTTCTGATATTGACAAATACAGCTGTCTTTAAGGTCTTAATACACCAAGATTGGTGGCCTCACACGAATACTGTTCATCGTACCCGTTAAAAACCAATCATCCCACTTCATGGGTGGTGCTAATATTAGTAAGTGCAATGTCAGATTTGAAATGACTATACATTGTTTAAACACGCAAGTATACTACGGCGATGTGCCCCCAAATGCCCCGGTGTGGCCGAGAGTGGGGTGGGCTCGCTCTCCCTTGAAAAATGCTCTCACATGGCCACGCGTATATAGCCTCTGCCAGGAAAGTCCTACTCACTGCCTTATCGAGGCATTACTGTTGTATACGAAATTAAGAGGATGAAAAGCGAATGTCCAGAGCTTTAATCGGGTTAGTGGATATGGAGAATCCATTTATAGGAGTTGGAAAACCCTAATTCTAAACCAATGATGCACATGGGCTCCAGGATCCTGAGGGAACAAATGGCGTATGAACCAATTATTCGTTACCAGCTAGCATAGAACTGCATCTCCTGGAGCTGATCCACGGTACTGTGGATCAGATCTTTGCGTCGAAGGCCCCGGGTGTGGCCCCCTAAGAAAACCACTTGTTTCGGTCTGGGCACCCGGGCAGTATCCCAGCCTTCACACATATCAAGCGAGATTGCGTAGCGCATATGTAACTATGTGTTAAAATAAATAATTATGAAACAAACCTTCAAAAACTATGTTAAACAACTGTAAAGCAAAAATGAGTTTACTTGTACTTCATTTGCGTTTCTTGAATGGTGTTTTGGTATGATACAGACAGCATAATTGACTTGTATAGAAAAATATTGAATGAATTTTGAACAGAATAACCAACTATTTATTTATTTATTTAAACGCAAATATTGGTATAAAGGGTCACCAAATACATATGCACCACACAAGTCACCTGATTTGTGTGTAGGCTGTGATACTGCCCGGGTGCCCAGACCGAAACAAGTGGTTTTCTTAGGGGGCCACACCCGGAGCCTTCGACGCAAAGGTCTGATCCACAGTACCGTGGATCAGCTCCAGGAGATGCAGTTCTATGCTAGCTGGTAACGAATAATTGGTTCATACGCCATTTGTTCCCTCAGGATCCTGGAGCCCATGTGCATCATTGGTTTAGAATTAGGGTTTTCCAACTCCTATAAATAGATTCTCCATATCCACTAACCCGATTAAAGCTCTGGACATTCGCTTTTCATCCTCTTAATTTCGTATACAACAGTAATGCCTCGATAAGGCAGTGAGTAGGACTTTCCTGGCAGAGGCTATATACGCGTGGCCATGTGAGAGCATTTCGAGAGGGCGAGCTAACTCTCCCCACTCTCGGCCGTACTACAGTTCGTGGTTCCTATGAGATATTGGCTATTATGTTGTTTTCATGCTATTATTCAGTCACTTTACCAATATTACGCAACTACTCAAAGCACTCAGTTATTATTAAGTTCTCCACTCACCTGTATGCTCAAATTAATCATCTGTTGACCATGTTAACCTTTTAAAATTTATTTGGCCACAACACGTATGCAGCTTTAAAAGTTCATATAAAAAGTCGAAAATCTGTGATTACTTCTCTTATTTACTTACAGTGGTGCTAACGTAGAAAATGTATTCACCGAAACAGCTCGAAAAATATTCCAGAACGTCCAGGATGGAAGGTAAGTAGCGAAGTTAAGTGATTTTTATTTCATTTGGCTGCATTTTTATGTTCAACTCCTAAATATGTTTTAGGAACTGTAGGGGATTTTAGTCAAAGTGTGGAGGTTTTCGGTAGTTAAGAATTGAGAATGTTTGAAACCTGTATTTCCTAAAATCTAGTTCATCTGTAGTATGCGGTTGAAGTTATTTATTTATTTATTTGAACACATAAATATTGGTACAAGAGAGCGCCAATATATATGCGCCACACAAAACAATGAGAATGCGAAGAGAAATGGAAAAAAAAACTAAGGAGCGCAAGAGAAAAAGAGAACAATAACGAAGAGATTGGTGTAAGGTAGTGTGATAGTAACGAGGTACAATCAGAAGAAATCTTTCAGGTAAGGGAGACACAACCACTTTTTATGAAGAAAGTAAAAGAAGGTTACAGCAGGATCGCCACTGGCTTCTATTCTGAGCCATATCTGATAACGTCTCTAGCCACTGTGTAGCACCATCTCTCAGACCCCAACCAGGGAGTCGTGAAGGACCGACAGAAGCCAGTCCTTTGCAGCTTTCTTTCATGCCACGACACCATGTCATGCACTGACCACCTCTCCGCTTCTTCCAACCAGTCCCAGAGTCGGCAAATAATGCACGACGTGGAATTCTCTGGGACGACATTCGGAGAACATGTCCAAGCCACCGAAGTCGGTGTTTCAAGATGGTGACACCAATTGAATTATCATCTCTTTGCCCGAACACACGATGCCGAATCTCTGCATTACTGACATGGTGTTGCCACTGAATGTCAGCAATCCTTCGAAGACAGCGATGATCGAACACAGAGAGTCGTCTAACGTCCTCAACTCGGAGAGGCCAGGTTTCACAAGCATAGAGCGAAACGGCTCTCACCGACGCGTTGTAGATCCGACCTTTTACAGCCAGACTAACAACACAAAGGCGTCAAAGGTGGCCCAGATTGGCATAAGCCGCTCTGGCTTTCACTATACATGCGTTGATCTCATCACTCACGCCACCACCAGCACTTATGCAACTTCTCGACTACGTCTATCTGCTCACCATCCAGGGTGAGTACAGGATTAGAATCCTGCCAGTCTTGTAGAAGTACTTTGCACTTCGAAGGTACAAAGCACATACTATACTTACGGACACTGATTGCCAACTGATTAAGTGCGGATCGCGTGTCTTGGGCATTATCGCACAGTAAGACAATATCATCCACATACTCAAGGTCGAGAAGTCTTTCTCCAAGCAACAGATCCACACCGCCATTACTTACATTCATCAGAGCTGTTTCCAGAATGTCATCGATGGCAAAGTTGAAGAGGAATGGTGAGATTGGGCAACCCTGCCTAACCCCACTGCTCGAATGGAACAATGGAGAGAGGTGGTTGTATGCCCTCACTCTGCCTGAGGTGTTTGTATATAGGGCTTTTAGGATGTTAATAAACTTCTCAGGCACACCCTTCTTCAATAGACAATCCTAGAGAACAGCCCTGTCCAACGAATCGAAGGCAGCCCTGATGTCAAGAAACACTACGATTGTTGGCCTTTGATAAGTATGGCGGTGTTCTAACATTTGGCGGAGGGTGAAGATATGATCAATACATCCTCGACCAGAACGAAGCCCAGCCTGCTCCTCGCGAGTCAATCTTTCTCGGGTTTTGAACAACCTACGAAGTATGACGGGAGCCAATAGCTTGGACGCAATCGGAAGTAGACTTATCCCCCGATAGTTGTTACAGGAACGACGTGAACCCTTTTTAAAGATAGGGACAACTATCGACTCATTCCATGACGTTGGTACACTCTCTAACTCCCAAACCTTTGTAAACAACGTCGTCAATTCCTCAGTCAGAGAGTCACCACCATCTTTAAAAAGAGCCGGAGGTAAGTCATCTGGGCCAGGTGGTTTGTAACGCTTCAAGAGTTGGAGTTCCTTGCGGACGTCCGCCTCATTTGGTGGATCAGTCGTCACCGGCCACAGAGAGCAGGACAGACTGACCGATGTTGCCGGAGCAGCAGGCCAGTTGAACTGCCCTTCGAAAAATTCTGCCCACCGTCCAAGACGTCGATGGATGTTAGTGATTGGCATCCCATCATCCTCTCAAATTGTTTCACTCACACCAGACTTCGTGCTGCCAGTGGCTCGGATGAGCTGGAAGAGCTTCCGGTAGTTACCAGATGCAGTTGCTGCTTCCAGCTCATTAGCACGCTTCGACCACCAGGCTTCTCGGTCCTTACACAAGCTTTGCCCAATTTCCTTACGTAACATCCTTCGTTTGTGGTCAAACTCACGGTCACCTGGAGTAGACCGACGGGCTTCGATGAGTTGTAAGGAACCTGAAGAAACCCAGTGCTTATAAGCGGGACGTCTCGCAAACCCACAACTGACTGTACCGCCATTTTCATGGAGTCATGCGATTGCAACCAATGCTCATCTATACTTTTCGGTGGAATGGTAGCTAGCCTAGAGTCTAGCCCGGTTCGATACTTACTTGCAACAGAAGTCGCAATCAGCTTGCTAATATCAATCCGTTGATGGTGCTCACTTCGTTGTCCACTGAAAAGTAAGGCAAGATTGGCGCAGACCAAGGCATGGTCAGAGTCCAGATAGGTACTTCAAAAGGAGCGGCAGTCTTGTACACAACCACGCCAGCGGTAGCTGATCGCGATGTGATCAATCTGAGTCCAGGCTTGAGATGCAGAGGGAGGACGCCAGGTGGCACATCGGCGATGACTGTGCCGAAAGTTAGTGCTAGCCAGAAACAGATTGTAGTCTGTGCACAGTTGCAGTAGACGGTCCCCGTTATCTGTCCTGCGACCAACGAGTCCCCATCGGCCACCTAAACGACTCTCTTCTGTGCCTAGACGCCCGACCTGAGCATTCAAGTCTCCGGCTAGTACTACAATATAAGTCGAACGCACTTTCTGGAGAAAAACAGATAACTGGTAGTAAAACCCATTCTTGATTGCATCCGGGCTGCAATCTGTCGGGGCATAGGTGGAGATGACGAAAAGACATCGTTTCTCACGCCGATTTCTTCTCACTTTGATGGAACTTTCCAATCTAACAGCACATAACCGACTGTTAATGGGGATTCAATCGATTAGTGCTGCCTCAGCTCTAGCGCTTAGTGCGACACCAACGCCAGCAAGACCAGACGAAGATGCCACAGGGTCCCCGGATAAGGGCAAGTAAAACAAGCTTTTTGAAGTGACAGATGTAGAGCGAATTTGTAGTACTTCACCAAAGTCTTGAATACGGGTCTCGGATAGAAAGCAGACATCGATATGAAGACTTTCCAAAGACATAGCCAACCCTATCTGTTGTCCAACCTGCATAAGTGTACGAACGTTGAAGGCAGCCAGTTTGAATGGTGCACGTGGTCTCAGAAAAACTGTTTCAGTACTCATATTCAGTGGTAACATACAATTTTCAACCGGACAGTGACACGAGAACGTTTAGATACAGTCGAATTTCCACCAAAGACGAGCCGCTGTATAAGTATAAAAGAGGGTGAATAATGTCGTAGTAAATAATAATAATAATAATAATAATAATAATAATAATAATAATAATAATAATAATAATAATAATAATAATAATAATAATAATAATAACAATAATAATAATTTGATTGCTATTCGAAGCGAGAAAAGTAGTTTCCACAGGTATAGAGAGTTCATCATTTGCATGTGGGCTGCGATACTGCCCGGGTGCCCAGACCGAAGCAGGTGGTTATCTTAGGGGGGCACTCCCCGAGCCTTTGACCTAAAGGTCTAACCCACAAGGCAGTGCAGCATCGTAAGGAGATGCAATCCCATGGTAGCCGGTGACCAACGATTGGTTCATACGCCATTTGTTCCCGCAGGATACTGGAGCCCATGTGCACCATTGGTTTGGGATCCGGTTAAAGCGCCGGACATTCGCTTTTCGTCCTCTCATTTTCGTAAACAACCCCCCCGCCACGAGAAGGCAATGAGTAGGACTTCCCTGGCAGAGGCTGTATACGCGTGGCCGTGTGAGAGTATTTCGAGAGGGAGAGCGGACTCTCCCCACTCTCGGCCGTATCAGGGCATTCGGGGAGCCTGGTACATATGTGCGTTGACCCAAGTCGCCATACTACATTGGCACGACGAGATGAAAATAACAGGATGTATAACAAAGAAAATTGAAGTTTGTGACAGTAGAAAAGAATTAACCCTAAGAATATGGATCTAGAAGACAGTAGAAAACTATGTATTAAAAACAGTATTTAATATTACGAGAATGATAAAGTGAGTGTACCTGTGCCATCGCGACCTATTCTGAACCATGTCACTCACTCTCTAACCACGATTATTGTGCATCTACTAGCAAAACTCAGATCGTCAGTCAAGGATTTCATGGATTGATAGCGTTTTTGTTTGGCCAATCCTAGCTTTATTCCGATCTACTTGTATGCCAGCATTCCTTGGTTGCCAAGGTTGGCGGTGATCGACCGCATGTGACATCCTGAACACTTCAATCAGTGAAGGTTCGTAACTTAATCAACCGGTCTGCCATCTCTACTTAACCGCAATATTGCTCAGTCGGTTTCATGAAACCTAAGCAATGCTCAAGAGACACATATGGAAAACCTATCTAATGTGAAAACTAGCACAGTCATGCAATTAAAATAAGACGTTTTGATATTGTTTTAAGGCGTTCATTTTGTTTGCTTAACATACTTGTCAGTCAAAATTAGTTATAGTCCTACACAACTAGAAAACCTAAGACAAAATCAAACCTACTTGTAGATTTTAGAGACTGACTCCCCTATCATGGTAGGAATGAGCATTAACGTTATTCTCGCTTTTTTTTATAAGCCCACTTTGTTGTACTCTTTGAAATCTTGTTAGTGTAATTAACAAAATCGCTCATAAAAGCATTAACACATGTATTCTAACTGAAAGCCTGGTTCCTTGTTTTTTTTTCTTAAAAAGATTTAACTTCATAGTAACTATACGACGAAATACATACTTATGTATTCCACTTTGATTCACATGTTTTGTTTGATAATAAGTATTGTTACCTGTTTACCTTAAGTATTGAAACCGATGTTTAAACCTACAGTCTATTGTTTGGAATTTATCCGATTTAATCGTGACATAAATTTTTGCTGAAACACCTAACAAATTTAGTGACATGAAAGTCCACAACTTTTAAATCGGTAAAAGTTCTAGGAATTTACATTTCCGTGCTCGCGAACACCTCTCAGCTTGTCTATGCAAAGATCTAGTGAAGAAAATGAACAACCCAATATTGACCAATTTAGTGCAAACTGGTCATAGCGCCAGTAGAAACTAATCCTTTTCAATTATTTATCGGGTCAGTAATTTCTTGCCGAACCCTGTCAAACTCACAGTCTTTGAAACGGCTGAAGCAGTAGCCGTCCGGATTAAGAAACTGGAGCTATGTTCACAAAAGAAATGTCTTCAACTACTTCCCCTCTCCTGGCCAACCTTAAAGCCAATTAATCAATAGTAATCTTAGCTATTAAATGACCAAATTTGACTATTGTACTTACAACCTTTCGTACTTAAATATAATTATTTCTGTCACCTTTATTCACATATCGTATTATTTTTGTTATCAGTCTTTTATTAGTTTAAGATCATTATTAATCTCCCGAATACATAATTTATTTACTTTACATTCGTATCGCCTTTAGTATATCTTACTAATTTTCTACACATTGTAGTCTCCCACTAAACATTTGATCGAATTTGTAATTGCACTATTGTTTTTCTTACCCCATCTGACCCATATTAATTCGGATCATGGATCTTAAAATTGCATCTAACGTAGAAACTGGTTCAAGTTAACATTTTATACGAATCATCTTAACCTTAACAATTTTATTTTGTTAAAAAAAACCGAAATTTATATGCTATAACTTTAAACGATGCACTTTGCCCTAAATCTGGACATTTTTCGGATTAATTTGGTTATAAAATTGTAGAACCTGAAGAGAATTCATCGAAAAGAATACTCTCTGTTCATATATATTAGTCGTTTAATATGATGAGGATCTTTAAACATTTAGAAATGTAATGGTAAACTACTCCAAAAGTATACACCTAATCTGTTTTGTTCGTAATACCACATCTACCAGATACCATGCTTAACAATAATTTTCATCGTAGCCACTTCTAATTATCACTAATATGGTCCCATTTAGATAAACCTGTATCAAATATCTCACTGTATTGTGATCAGTAAGACATCTCACTAGAAATAATTTAATAATCTGTTATTTTAATACTCATATTTTTGGTTGAAAATATAACTCATTAATTCACAAGCTCTTAATTCTATCTCACTAATGGTGTTAAAAGTCTTGTGACACAAATCAATCTTCACCAATTATTTGTTTCGTCTTTTTATAACATATCTGATTTTTCTGGCTTCCAATCAACTAATATCAATTATAACAGACATCATTCTTCAACTACTTTGCTCTATGTTAGTCAAATGTTCAGCTTAGTCTCAAACTGTTTATTGGTTTATATATATATATATATATATATATATATATATATATATACCTTAAAATACTTTTTAATGAAAAAAATTAACATAGAAGTCGGTCATAAAAGGTTATATTCATAAAGAAAATATTCACTGCTACTGCCTAATCCTTGTAAATAATGATAAGCAGTTGTGAAGTTTTGAATTATTTTCACTGCATAACTAGTCTTGTCTTTTTAAAGTAACATTTTTGCTCAGAATACAATTTGTATTTCAGTGTCCAATATTTTATTTTATCTTTTCTAGTGTATATCTAAACAGTGTTGATGGAGGTGTAATAAGTAAAGGTTCATTAACGCCAGGTACTGGACGGAATAGTGTAGAACTTGGCAATTCAGCTTCAACTAATGATGGAACTCGTCAAAGTGGGTGTGCTTGTTAAAAACAGAATTCATATATGAAACAAAAATAAACACAATAAAGAAAATCCTGTTACATTATAGGAATTTATCTTTCCCGTGATCACGATTTTTCATTTTATTTTGTCCCAGAATAAAAGTCATTTTTCATACTTAGCATCATCATTATCGTCATGGTAATTCATAATCGTCATTTTCAATAATTATTATTGGCTTTTTCTTTGCAGTTCAAGTGAATTTATACATATTTTAAAAATTATCGGGTTTCAGACACTATGCATATATGTTGTTCACTGATAAAGTCACTTTTTCTAGTTAATATCTTTCTTTATGAGAATAGTTTAATTTGTACATTTGATCACCTTTTTTTAATTTTCTGACCAATAATGTGCTTTATATTTTATCACTGACGCTCTTCTCACCCTCTATGTGTGATCGTCAATGTATTTGTGTTCCACACTATATTGGATCATTGATGTTGTTAAGTTGACATAACATGGCCGTCTACCTGTTTCGTTCGATGTTGTCATTATTTAGTTTATTTAAGAAAGACATTATTTTTATCTTACTTCTCTCTTTACCATTCTACTTGATGTAATTCAATAACATAAGCATGATTTTCTGTGTTGGCCATAAGTTATGTGCAAACACTAAATTTTGTACAGATGTCTTAACCGGAGCAAATATTACATATTACTGTGTATGTATTTGTGTGATCTTCTGTATGCGGTTGTAAAAAGATGTGACTCTTTTCACTTTAAATTGAGTCAATAATGAAAAAAAAGCATTCCTCCTTTATGCAGGTTTCCTCTTCTTTTCAATAATAAGACGAATCATGAGGTTATATAATTTTGTTTAAGTATGTTCTTTCTTAATAGCTATATATATTCTAACGATAATTTCCTCGCACCGTTTATTTCTTTTATAAAGCTACTATGTGATACTTTTTCCACGGTACAATGCATAAAAGCACAAATCTATTTCTTATCGGGTAAATTGATTGATGGTTAATAATATTTTCTAAAGATTGAATATTTTACAAGCTTTTTCTTTCTTCAATATGGATTGTTTCTACAACACAACTCATATGGTTTTTCAAATTTCTTTCTGTTCATTTTGTATTTGTTCTTGAAAACTGTTTTGTATTCTCTCGTTTTTCTTTTCCAAAAACAATCTCTCCATTTGCTTGCTCATCTGTTTAAATCTCATTTTTATTTTATTCCTTAATCGTGTTTTCGGTTTTTTCTCGTTGTTTGTCGATAATTAAATTGTGTACTGATTGATAACGATAATAATAATCGAAACACCTATGTAACTGCAAATACCTTCACTTATTTATTTATTATACATTTATCGTTGGAGAGTTGTTTCTTTCTTCCAACAAATGAATAGGCAACATTGCCAACACTTAATTATTTTGAATGTTATTTCAAGAGGTATATGTCTTTTTACGGTCCACGCTTACCTAATGTATTATCACTGCTAAAATAATTTTTCAGAAATAATTAGTTAGAGAGACCTCATATAGCATTGTACCAATGAAGTTAAAACGTTTGGTAGTTAAGTCATTGTAGTGATTGTTTATTTATCGTTTCTATGATGGTATTGTCGTTCAGTCGGTTTTAGATCCTTTATTGATCTTACATCTTTTTGATAAGCATGGATGTAAATGGTGAGCATATCTACGCATTGTGATCTACTTAACGAACTTATGTTGGTACTAGGTGAATAACATTTTGAATATTAAAAGGTTCTTGTTTTGCCTCAGTGACAGGTATTCTTCCAAGTTTTGCATACTTATTAATTTGTGAAATCAGCAATTTAAATTCAAATAGCTCTTTCTAAAAAAAATAATTCATAAGGTGATTATTGTTTCCAATTTTAGCTGTAATGTTGTTATTTCTGCTCATCGGATAAAGGCTTATTTTGATAGTATATTTTAGTGATCATGCTTGTATTAAATTACTTATGTAATTGAATTACAAACTTTTTAGCCTGTTGTTCACAATATCAATTTTGTGTATGGTGTACGCAAGCATGCAAAAGCATGTTTCTTTAAATGCCATGAACAGAAATAAACGTACATAAGAGCAGATTTCACATTGGTCACTGTCTAAGCGATTCGTATTGATTTTACTGTCGTCCAAAATAACGAAATATACATAAAACAAGCTAATTTATACCATAGGTATGATCGATATGACTTGCCAAAAATAGCAAAAATTGGTGAACAGTGTTAATGATGTTCAGTAATTCATTAATAATGTATAGGTTTGTGGGGATCGGTGTATGTTATTCTGATCACAAGCCGACCTAAGTTGGCTAACCATTGGAAGCGATAGATATCTACTTCGTCCTAGTATACAACACCCCAGTAACGGTTATTCAAGACTCCACTGGGGATCGAACCCAGGGCCTTCATGTTTTGCTCTTAGGGCCTAACCTTTAGACTACTGAATCGGCACCCACTGGTTTACATGTTTAACTTCAATCAATTCACAACATTCCCCAACTACTTTTCATTGTTTTCGATGGGTAACTGCTTCACATACGACAGGGTTGGGCTCCACTTGTTAAGATTTTGCTCGAGATTTGAAGTTACATTCTGGTTGTGATGGCTATTTGTCTTCAAGTACCTAATTATCTAAAAATTCTAGACACTTCCTTTATTTAGCTGGTTGAATTGAAATTCATACTGACAACGTAGATACTCATAAAAAAAATCGCAGATACATTGTTTAAAAGCTTTATGTTTCACTGTCTAATTTAAACTAATGATTTTAGTATTGATTTAAGTTTTCTGAAAAGAATTCACCAATCTGAAATTCATGTCCTGAAAGTTATCATGTTCTCACTAATAACTGATTTCCAAAGCTGATTTTCGGAGTTATTTGGGGAAGTCATGACTCAACTGAGTCAAGTCATGATCTCACCAAGGTTCATTTACACTTTCGCTTTCTATGAAATGCTAATGAGAATCGTGGTTACCTTGTAATCTGTGATCACTCCGTCACAAAAATCTCAACAAAAAGAAGAAAAGTAAGTTGAACCGTCTTTCACATTTACTTTGAACTTGCTTAATTAATCCAAATGAAAGATCAACATAAGCCTGTGTTTCTTAACAAAGTGTAAGAAATCACAGGTTATCTAAAGTGAGAGAAACCAATTAACTCTGATATATTAATCTCCGAGCTCTTTATATATGATGGTCCAGTTTTAGTAGCTAAATCGCCTAAGATATTAGCCAGAATCTGGTAAATTGGACATAATCCCATTTGACTAGTTTTGATTTTTGATCATTTCAGCTTATAAGAGAAAAAGTTGATGTTCACTGTCATGTGACCTGGATTTATTTTCATTAAAACTGAGAAAAGAAAAGGAAATACTGTATAAATATAAAATAGTAGACTTCGTCTTTTATAGAACAACTACATAATAGTGATGTTGTAAGAATTGGGTTTTATTTATCACAATGGTTCCAAGTCTCATTTTACCCAGTTAATTTGTCAATGTATCAACTATCTTAAATCATCTAAAATCAATTCTAAATTTATTCATATGACTTTTAATTGTTTTTATTTGTCAATTCAAGTTCATACCATTAATAACCATTTTACTGAACTAAAAAAATAAACATAATGCTTTGTTAAATATAATGTGACATTTCATAGTTAATAAGTTTTATTAAGATCTACATATTGTGTAAATCATATCCTATTTGACATAAGTTTTCATTATGAATATGCCTCTGAAAAATCAATAATAAATGTTACCAACAGAGTTAAGTTATGAGTGAAATTGATATTGCCAATATTATAGACGTAAGATCTTGTAAATTGGCAGAAGTTAATTCAATAAATCAATGGATTTCAAATCAATGATTTTAAGGTATCATTTTGATTGTGAAATTTGATGACCCTGAGTTTGAGTATATGTTAAAGGGAATGTGAATGAATAATATTGAAAGTTCTGAACAAGAAAAGAAAAAAAAAACAGTCAAATAATTTCTAATAAACACAGAAAATAATTTTAGATTGATTTAAAAGTGAATGTAATTGAGATAACCTGAATAGGTCCAATCAATATGATAATCTACATTAAAGAATAAAAAGGTGAAAAAATTTTCATGAAACTTGCTAAATAAACAAAATTGAACTTTTTATGTATTACTTCCCGACCGTTGTTGCTATCTTGATGTGGTGAACGGGCTTGCCTATCGTGATGAAGCAACCGAGCTATACTGACTGGAACAACCGTTCCTCAAGGTCCTACCATGTCAGAAAGGTCGGTTGAAGAGCGGTAAGACTAAAGGCAACAAACCCAAGGTCCGAAGGCGAAGTCGTACTGCTGACTGTACAGAGATGTGACAGCAGTAAGGTGTTTCCTTCAAACAACCACCATGATAGCGATGCTGCCTTCCCACAAGGAGGGGTGGGGTTAGAAAAGGTCGACCCTAAAAATGCACACCTTGCCTTGTCCCACGGATATCCGTCTCCGGTGGTAAGGTCCCAAAAAGTACGGAGCTAACACAAAAATTACCCATAGAAAGGTCGTGTGTGATCGACCTAAAGCAGTTGTCCCTTGGGCACTGTGGTCATGCTCTCAGGTCACTAAGGCCACCCCTAATTCAATTTCCTTTTCAGATACCTCCATAAGAACCCTTCCACGGTGTAGGCAACCGGGAAGTGATAACCGCCCTCATACCTCTAACAGCACACAAGTCCACTGACTTATTTCTTACTTACTATAGTATGAATGAAAACAAACAATACACTGGAAATTATGATAATTAACCCTGACATGTGATAAAATGGGATAAGAATTAGAACTTATAGTTAGGCATTAATTATACTGCAGAATAAATGACCTATAATTGACATATCCTCTAATCGTTTATTTGTCAAATGACTTCCATTCATTCTTATTCTTGTGTTCAGTATTTTGCATTTGAGTATAATATTTTATTAAATCTTCAAGAACGTTTTAATCTGGCTGCTAATTTTTTTTAAATATCACTTCAGTTGGAGGCTTGCGTCAATAATTCGGTCACATGAACAGTTATCACTCGGTTAAATAATGTCATTTCATATCATCTACCGATCAGCATTATTTTTTCTCACATTTTAATAATCTAAAATTCGTTAGTCAGTTTATGAAACTCTGAATCATAACAACATTTTTATCTCAGTTATCCGGTCGATACAGAGTAAAGTTGAACTGGACTATGCAAGAAAACTTCTATTTCACTCGATAGACCTTCTTTGGTTTAGGCATCCTGGCAGTATCCCAGCTCACTCACAAATCAAGTGATGATTATTACCGGAAAAATTATTCTTGCTTCAGCTCGCATTCAGACAAATTACATTCATAATCGTTTGCTAACATTCGTTTTCATCTCTTCTATGCTACGTCACTTATCTAATACCCTTTATTCGCATTTTGAGTATTTTATTTTTCAAATTATTCGGCGACTTGCCTATGGTGGAAAGCCTGTCTTTTCTAAAAGATATCAAGTCACCGACTGGTAGAAAGTTGAATAGTACCACCGACTATGAATACTAAACCAGTCTTCCTGAAACTAATTATGCCATTCAAACTGGCCTCCATCAACGTTCGCACACTAATGCAGACCGGACGACAGGAAGGGTAGTACCAGCCGGAGACATGAATGCTCAGGTGAGGCGTCTAGGCACAAAAGTGGGTCGTTTAGGTGGCCTATAGGGACTTGTTGGTCATAGGTCAGAAAATGACAGGACTCTGAACCTTTACTCTCCATGGGTAGTGAGCAGATAGAAGTGGTCGAGTTCATGTATCGGGGTAGCTGAGCAAGTGCTGATGGTGGCGTGAGTGATAACATCAATTCACGTATAATGAAAGCCAGAGCGGCTTATGCCGATCTAGGCCATCTTTGGAGCCTTCGTGATGTTAGTCTGGCTGTAAAAGGTCGAATCTACAACGCGTCGGTGAGAGTAGTTTTGCTCTATGCTTGTGAAACCTGGCCTCTCCGAGTTGAGGATGTTAGACGACTCTCTGTGTTTGATCATCGTTGTCTCCGAAGGATTTCTGATATTCAGTGGCAACACTGTGTTAGTAATGCAGAGGTCCGGCATCGCGTGTTCGGACACGGCGATTACAATTCGTCCAAAAGAGTTCCACTTCGTGCATTATTTGCCGACGCCAGGACCGGTTGGAGAAAGCGAAGAGGTGGTCAGTGTATGACATGGTGTCGTGTTATAATAGAAGGTTGAAGAAAACTGGCTCCTGTTGGTCCTTCACGACATCCTGGTTAGGATTCTAGAGATGGTGAAACACTGCCTAGAGACGTTATCAGACACGACACAGAATAGAAGACAGTGGCGATCCTTCTGTGACTTTCTTTCACTTCATAAAAGTGAGAATAACTTGTTTAACTGAAAGAATTCTTTCTGACTGTTTTTGCTAACTGAACTGTTTCTCTCATTATTATTATTACTATTTATTATTATTACTTCACCCTCGTGCACTAATTTCTGTTCATTGTTGTTCTTTTGTATTATAAACACTTGACATTGTCTCTTCACAACTTCATTGTTATTGTATGATGCACATGTATTTGATGCTGAATTGTACCAATGTTTATTTATTCAAATAACTAAATAAATAAAAACAGCAAGGTTTTCATTATCAAAAAATCTAGATGATTAAAAGCCGACTAAAAGTGTTAACATATCAAGTCACATTGTTAATCACATAACACAGTAATCTATCACAATAGAAGTTTTACAAAAAAATGTTTTTTGGTTAAACTAATCAAATTCAATTGTACATTGTTATAGCCCAAAGCCGCCAATCAGAAGCACCGAATTATCTATCGGACCAAGGACGCGTAAAACACGTGCGAGAAGTCTAGAGTCACGTTTGGTCCTGCTTTCCGCCTAGCCCAGCCACTTAAGTCCAGAACACCAGTCTCAGCCTCTGCAATATGAATCAGTATATTTCAAACATACTGAATTTATGTAGCAATC